TTTGACATACTTAAATTATTATATTTTTAACTTAGAATGTGTATGTATATTTAAGGTTTTACTATTGTATATGTATCCACTTATCTAATAAACTGTTTTAATTACTTTATAACTTCGTCCTCTTACTCTTCTTAATAATATCTATTATATATAACTTTTTTCCCTTTAAGGATGGGCACTCATTAGGGTGATGAAAAAAATCAAGTCTAGCAAAGTCAATATATTAAAAACAGTGAAGACTATTATATAGCATTATAGTGCACAAGCTCAAATATTTAGTGATGCATTTCTCGAACTTATTTTATTTATAAGTTAACCTTGAAACATGAATTTTAGTATATCATGAGCATATTTTTTTCTAATTTTGCAATACTTATAATATCATACCAGGATTCATGTGGAAGTCTAATATTTGGTATATAATATTCTTACAATAAATGTATTAATTCAATTATATTCAAAATGATGGGTCGCAATTTTTACTGAAATTGCAAATTTAATTTCAACAATGAAATTATTGTTTAAAAAAATAGCACAACAGCAAGATGGACAATCATATATAGAATTATAATGCTCCATATAATGCTTTGATTTGATGCGTATATAATGTTATTTTTCGAACATCTTTGTAAAAAATTGATTTTTGTAATTTTTGAAAAAATTCGATTTTATTTCGAGATTTCCTCTATAGGTGAAGTATATTGAACAAGATTCCTATGGGAGAAAATAATTGTAAGTATGAGTACTTTCATTAATACTATGGGTGCCATGGTTATCGCTCAAACGATCAAGTTATATCTCGATTGCGTAAATTGAAATTTTGCTATTTTCTAAATTCACGGCAACAACATTCTTTTATCCTGATCGTACATCACAATATTTGAATGTGCGACCATTTGTTCAAGAAACCGTCAAGTTATTCTTCATTTTTCATGCCGCGGCGAACAAAAGCAGTTGCAAAGTGTATAAAGAACTTAGTTCAAAGCGCGAAAAATAGGGTAGAGCCATATGTCGTCAACACTGTTGAATTTGTGCTATCTGTATTATTGAGCGGCGCTACATTTTGCCAATCAGAATTTCAATTCATGCTGAATAACATCAAAGTTCCGTCAGAAGCTACATTTCATCGAGTCCAAGAAAAGGTTGGTCGTGTTATCATAGAAGTTGCCAGAGAATCTGTTAATTATTGGAAATCTCGAATGAGAAAATGTTCGGGACTTTTGTTTGACGGTTCTTGGAGTCAGAGAAGAAATGCAATGTTTTGCTATGTACAATTTGTAGAAGAGAAACTCAAAAAAATTGTAGATTGGGAAGTGATATCTAAATCTTTTAAAAATTTCAAAGGTAATTTCAACGGAAAATCAAATGAAATGGAATTTGAAGGCTTAAAAAGAATGCTGAAGCGTTGGAATAATGAAAAACGTGTAAATTTTTTTGTGCATGATGGCGATGTCAAAATTGTTTCTACAATCAAAAATACGTTCAAAGGTATCAGAAAATACAGAGATCCTGGACATTTTCTTAACAATATACAGAAAAAGCTCAAACTGCTAGAATTCAGAATCTTATCTAGCATTTCAAAGAATTTATTGCGTTGGCTTAGGCAACTTCTCAATGACACACATATGTCAATTAAAACAAAGAAGTTTTTATGGTTGAATTCCGCTAAACATTATGCCGGAAATCATAAATTTTGTCCAGATCCTGAAAAATGCAAGATGATTAAACCATGGAAATATGCAAAAAATAAAACTGCTATAAAAACACTTAAAAAATTCCTCGAAGATACCGTAAAAATCTTTGATATGGTAAAAAAGATTCATTCAACTCAAGTAGTTGAATCGATAAACCATATCAAAGCAATGCTTGCTAATAAAAATATTAATTGGCATGCTTCTTGGCCAATTAGGATGGCAGTCACAATATTGCATTTCAATGAAAGTATGTTTGAAACGATTGTAGCAATAAGATACAGGTTAAATTTACCAACAATGCCAGAAATGATGAACAGATATTTCAGAATGTATGATACAACAAAAGATTTAATCAAAGCATTCAAAAATTCAAAGCAAGTTCAAAAAAAGTTTGCGGCATTAAGAGCTATAAAGAGAGGTCTTCAAGCTACCGATGGGGCGGCGACAAATTTGCCCAGCCAGTAAAGTATTCATTTTTTTGCATTTTTTTAAAGCTTCTTAACTTAAATCATGGAATGTCTCAAAGACAAAAGTAGCATACAGCATGTAAAGCTAAAGAAAGATAATCATAATTAATACCTTAATTTTTAATATTACGCATTTTTAGGTGCAAAATTTAAAAACATTCTAATACAATAGAGCAGTTTCCAAAAGTAGCATACAGCATGTAAAGCTAAAGAAAGATAATCATAATTAATACCTTAATTTTTAATATTACGCATTTTTAGGTGCAAAATTTAAAAACATTCTAATACAATAGAGCAGTTTCCAAAAGTAGCATACAGCATGTAAAGCTAAAGAAAGATAATCATAATTAATACCTTTAAAGTTTAAAATCTTGATTTTTTTTAAAATCAAATATTTATAACTTTAATACATACAGCTTAAACCTTATACTTGTTTTCTCTTGTGAGAAAGCAATCTTACAAAGCTAACAATCCTAAAAAATAAAGAATTAAAATTTAATAATTTAATCTAACAAAATTTCTCTCTTTATCCTTTTGCACTCTTTATATGCAACTCAAATCCATCATATAATATTCCTATAATACTCTTGCCTCAAACAATGACGAACAAACTGCTATTCTCATTTAATTACAGAAACAATAAGAATTACCGAAAAAGTGACAAAACATCAAAAACAGGGAGGGGTCTCAATTTTTATTACTTATATTATTTTACAATATTTATATAAATACTCTTTATAATATATTTTACTATAAAATTATACCTCAAATTCAAATATTTAAAATATTATTTACATAATTATCTCAAAATTATATTTTTATATATTATTTTTCATATGTATAAATCATATAATCTATATCTATGCAAATCTCATCTAAAATTTTTTGAAACAAACCGCTACCATTTTATAATGGTCCATCTTAAATTCATCATAAATTCTGGTACATGTTAGTACCAGAGTCTTCAAATCTCAAACACTCTGGTACCAACATGTACCAGACGCGAGTTTCCAATGCCCTCGTACGATTTTCTATTAAGATCTTCTTGAATGAGAAGGTCTTCATAGAAACTCGTACGAGGGCTTCTCTTTTAAATACTCTGGTACCTGCTGGTATCGGAGTCGACTTTACAGCCCTTTCCCCAATTTTGAAGCTGGGGAAAGTTTTCAAGCAATGAAAGGGAAGCTCTCGCTATGAGGTGAAAATCTAGAATTTTTACCTCATAGCGAGTAATCCTTTGTTAATTGCTTGAAAACTTTCTTCAAATTATCAAAATTTCGAGGAAAGTTTCCTTGCTTCAAAGTAGAGATGGAGCCCTTTGAGCCACTGCATATAGGTCAGTGACTCAAAATACTCCATCTCTACTAGAAATCGCCAAAATTTGGGTCGCAATCTTTGAAATGCGACGCAAGTTTTGGCAATTTCGCGAGGGACTTGCTCCATTTGGTGCATAGATTCACACTCTATGCACCAGATGGAACAATTCTTTCGCTGACAGCGGGAAACTTTGTCTGAATAGTTTAACATTCAGACAAAATTTCCCGCTGTCAGGGAGGGAATTAGAGGGTGGGATATATATATATAGACTATAAATCTCTCACCCTTTAATTCCCTCAAGAAAGTTCAAAAACTGCACCCAAGTTTTTGAATTTTGTATAAGGAATTGTTGGCTATGATGTGGATAGCCGCTGCCAGACCAAATGAATTAACCGTTGTGAATAACGTTTCTGAATCTTTATTTAAAAAGATAAAATATCACGATTTTGGCTGCGTTAAAAATCAAAGAATTGATGTTTTTGTCAAAAATCTTTTAGAAGAAGTTGCACCCAATTACTTTTATCGTATTAAAAACGATTTACTTCAAACAGGTTTTATTCCTTCAATTAGAATTCGCGAGCCTCGATTGACAGATTATAAAACAAAATTGAAAAGAGAAGTTCAATCACGTTTATACCAAGTATTAAATTTTGTTCAGAATCAAGAAGCCAATTTGAATCCATTAAGATTTTTATTGGAAAATGCTGAAGAAAAACTTTCTCAAATAAATGAGAAGATACAAAATTCAATTACATATTTAAGATCGTTTGAAATTCCAAATGAATTGTTAGATACGTATATGTTAGAAATTAATGAATTTTGTTATAATTCTCCAGATTATATTTTAGAACATTTCGAAGAATTTTTAGAGGATTTCAAAGAAAAGAATAATTTAATAGACTAAAAAATTTATTATTTTTATTTATTGTGAATTTTAAATTGTCACTTTTTAAGTGTTACTTCCTATTGAAAGTGTCACTTTTTGGGTGTCACTTTTTCGGAAATTCTTATATACTCCTCAAATCCATCATATAATATTCCTATAATACTCTTGCCTCAAACAATGACGAACAAACTGCTATTCTCATTTAATTACAGACCAAATCTATTCAAATTTCTGAAATTTTAATTTTCATTTCAATTTCAAATGGAATTAGAAAAAGAAACTATCTTTACTGTTATGGATCTTTGTAAATTTGGAGTTAAACAAGAAATACAAGCACAGTATGGATATGGTGAACGTGTCAGGAAAGAAAGATCTCAGATTTCATTCCACTGCAAATATCCAAAATGTCCTGCACATTTTAATGTTGCAATCTTGGATCAAAATAAATACAAACTAATCAAAATAGTTGAAGAACATGATCATTCCGCCCCAAATGACAAAAGTCAATATTCGTCTGTCTTTTATCGCAAATATTTAGAACATTACTTCCAAACAGATGACAATCAAAGAGCGATAGCACAGCTAAATGCATTCAAAGATCTTGAAATTCCTCTTACAGGTCCGTCCATTCCAGAGATGTACGCTCAAAAACCACGTGCAATCAAACGATTTGCAGAGAGAATACATGCTCTTCAAACTAGATATTCTCCTGACGATGTTGTGTCATTGCAAATCTTTGTTCAGACAGTACAAGAAGAATCTCCAGATGATCTCATTGCATTTGAAGTCTCAGACAATAATATGTGTTTCTATTACGCGCCTTTTGAAGGCAAAGCTTATGCGCATAGTATCAAGACATTTCATATAGACAGCACCTATAAATTGTTGCGATCAAACATTCCATTGTATGCATTTACTGGCAAAATCAAAGATTTTCACATTTTCCCTTTTTTATATTTCTTTTGTCAACCAGACACTTATCAAAACATTCAAGTTTGCGTGTGCGCCTATCTCAGATGGGTAACAATTGAGCCAGAATACATTAGCATGGACTGTGCTCCACAGATAGCTCAAGCAATAGAAGAAAGCATTCCACAAGCTCAAATACTTTGGTGCGGAGTACATGTTCTTCGTGCAATTCTTCGCAAATCAAATAAGTTTTCTTCTCAAGAAAAATTTGAACAATTCTATAATTTGATGAAGGATTAGTCTTCAAATTAGATGCAGAACATGAGGAAGAAGCAAATGCTGCCTATGATCAAGTTCTGGAGTTGCTCGACACAGATCCAACAGCATCTCAATACTTTAACAGACAATGGCGTTACAACATATCAAGATGGATTGCTCGTGACAGGCGTAAAGGCGACGCAACTAACAATATTGCCGAAGCTCATTTTAGAACACTCAAACATGACTATTTTCCTGATCGAAAAAATCTCAGAATTGATGATGTTATTATAGAAATTTATACAAAAGTGATACCATCTTTCGTTATCAAACTCAAAATTGATCAAAATCCAGCAGATGACCGTGTCATTAGGATCATGGAAAAAGCAACTAACACAGAAATTGATGTAAAAAGACAAAGAAAAATCGAGAGTATTTCAATGCTCAATAGATTGCTCAATGCTGTTAGTGATGACTCAATAGATCCCACTAAAATATATCCTACCTTGAAAGTATTATTACAAAGAACTCATTTTATTTAATTTTGATTTTAATTTTAGATTAAATTATTAAATTTTAATTCTTTATTTTTTAGGATTGTTAGCTTTGTAAGATTGCTTTCTCACAAGAGAAAACAAGTATAAGGTTTAAGCTGTATGTATTAAAGTTATAAATATTTGATTTTAAAAAAAATCAAGATTTTAAACTTTAAAGGTATTAATTATGATTATCTTTCTTTAGCTTTACATGCTGTATGCTACTTTTGGAAACTGCTCTATTGTATTAGAATGTTTTTAAATTTTGCACCTAAAAATGCGTAATATTAAAAATTAAGGTATTAATTATGATTATCTTTCTTTAGCTTTACATGCTGTATGCTACTTTTGTCTTTGAGACATTCCATGATTTAAGTTAAGAAGCTTTAAAAAAATGTAATAAAATAAAAAAAATTTAGTATCTATAATCTGAAATATGATGTTTACTTAAGCCGCGAGCGAAGCGAGCGGCTTAGTTTCGTAATTTCATACAATCTTTTTTCGAATCTGTTCTTTTCTTAAGCCGCGAGCGAAGCGAGTGGCTTAGTTTCGTAATTTCATACAATTATTTTTCGAATTTGTTCTTTTTGTCAACCGCGAGCGAAGCGAGTGGCTTTTTATTTTTTAAAATTTTTTCTTTCTGACTTTTTTCCCTTACTTACAAATTTGATAGTAACTTACCAAATCTCTCTATCATATAATAATAAATTAATCCATTCTTTGTTTCAAATCTGACACTTTACATTTCTGACATGTAAACCTGTCACTTTTCACTTCACCTCACTGGGCAAGTTTGTGCCCCCTCGCTACCGATGATCGTATTACTCTTAAATCACATAAATAATTATTAAATTTATTTCACCCTCAAAACATCATAACCTTGCACCTTCTTTGAATAAACACTTTCACCTTCTATTTTTAATTAATGTTGTTTAATTGTCCAAAATTTTTAGATTATATAAGATATAATTTTTTATAAAAGTATTATTTTCTAAAAGATAAGTATATATTCTTAATCACAAAACCTAGCATTTTATCATATCTATATATCAGCTTCCTAAATATAATACTCATATAGTTAGTATGATTTTAATGTTTTTGAACATGAAACGAAAATATGATTACAATCATATACCATAATGGAGTTATTGATATAACTTATATGCATGATACATTAAGAAGTCTTCCAACAATATAGATATAGTTGTAGATTCATATGATTCCTTTTATATTGTGAGATAATAACATTTTTATGCTGTCAGGAGCCTATGAGTGCCCATCCTTAATTCCTTCGCAAACTGCGGGAAACTTTGTTTGAATTGTTTAACATTCCGACAAAGTTTCCCGCTGTCAGAGAAGGAATGTAAGGGTAAGGCATATATTTATAATATATACCTCTTACCATTACATTCCTTATATCTAGTTCGAAATATTTGAAACTTTACAAAAAAAAATCCTGACACGAAGTATCAGGATTTTTTTATCCATTACAAATTTTTGTAAAATATAATTTGCAATAAATCAAATGTAGCCATTTGGCTGTTAAGATAAGTATTGTTATTAAAAAATATTTGTTTTGGAACTAAAATTTCCCAAACTTTGTTTGGATAACATAAGATGTAAAACAAAATTCTGAGCTATCTACGTATAATCGGAGACTCGGAGTAGCTGGAGACATTTTGATATGAGAAATGAGTTATATTTGTGTAAACAATTCTGAAACTTTGTTTGGATAACATAAGATGTAAAACAAAATTCTGAGCTATCTACGTATAATCGGAGACTCGGAGTAGCTGGAGACATTTTGATATGAGAAATGAGTTATATTTGTGTAAACAATTTGGAGGCCGCGCTTTAATCTTGATATATTTTGATTCGTTATCTTGAGCTTTTTGCCTAATCTCATATGTTTGATTGTAAAAATCGTAAAATTAGTATAATGAGTTGTTTATTCGACCAATATTACATATAAAATCGAAAATATAATGAAAATGTTTTCGAGCTTTATTTATTTCTGAAATTCTCAATGCTCATTCGTAAACTTGTCTTCTGGCCATCAACAAACCAATATGGTTCTTGATCTGGCGCATCATACCAATGATTATGTAATTCGCTAAGTTCGAATTCATTAGGTGTAAAGTGGACTTTTGTATTGGGGTTGATCGGTAACGATGAATGAGGGAAATTGTTGTACATTTTAATTACTCTTGGTAAATCTGATATTGTCTTACAATTCCGTTCGACGTAAGGCCACCATCTTTCAATTTTCCCATTGGCCTGGGGATTGCCTGGCTGAATAAATATGTGTTCAATCCCTTTTTCTAAAAGTAAATTATGGAACATACCTTTATTATCAGTTCCATTATCTGTCCACATTGCAAAAGGTGGACCTGGTAACGTACTGAGTGCATGCTTTAATACATTTGTTGTATTTTCGGCTGTTTTTTGTAAAAATAAATTATAATCGACAATTTTTCGAGATTTATCGTCTATGATAACGAATAAGTATTGCCCAATGTGTTTGCGCCAATAATGAATGTCTGCGTGCCATATTTCGTGGCATTTATCCGCAATATAATTTCGTGGGATATATTTTTATGGTTCTTCTTCAATTTCAATGCTATCGTCAATAATAGCTTCATGAATTTTTCGACCCATTCTGTAAGATGGGCTTTTAAAAGGTTCTTCAATGTATGATGCAGTTTGAATTGATTCAAAAATCGGATTTATTTCAATTGGCTGACCAGAAACTTCTGAAACAACATCAACAAATGTTGTTCTATTAATTTGATCTAGCCAATTTCCTTTTTGAAAATCAACTTTTCCGTTTTTTTGAATTTCAAGTCGCATTTCTTTGAATTCTTGAGGATGCTTTTCAATGTTGTTAATATCTGTTTTCATTTTTTCGATTATTTTGTTGATGCCTGCATTTGGCATCATATCTTTTAAATTTGCGAATGCTTGACAAGTATTCAAATCAATTTCCTTTGTTTTTCTACCGGGTTTTGTATTTAATTGTAAATTATTTTGTCTTACGAGCTTTTTAAACATTGTTTGCGATATTTCTTTAAATGTTACATTTGTTAATCGCGCTTTTTTAACAATTTGCCTCATGGATTTTCCCGAGTTGATCTCTTGAACTGCAGATTTAATCCATTCTACATCTATTAATTTAGATGAAGTACGTAACCAATGGTATTGGTCCATTTTTTGTAAAGTTTACAACATTGTTTTATTTATTGTATTATAAATATTAATATAAATATTTGTCAAATGTAAGAAGCATATATTTGATAAAATAAACACATAATATGCTAAATTCAAATTTGGCGCCAATTGTCACTTTTGCTAGTGATGCATTTCGGTATGATATAAATTTTTATTGAAAATATAAAATCTTCGAGTAAATGATGTGAATTTAATATTTTTAGAATGTTGTTTAATTGTACTATATTATGCATGTAAAATTTTGTTACAATACATTTTCAATGTGTTTTTACAACAACTTAACATTCATCTATTTATAATGAATCGTTCTCTTTCATTAAACATTAATTAAAATCTCCGGTCATGAATTTTATTTTTTTTTGTTATTATTATTTTGTAATTTAAAATCTAATATTATATAAGAATAATATTTATTATTTTACATTTTAATTGGTTACGATAATCTTTATATTTAAAATTTTTAAAGCACCGATCCACAGATAATATAGTTCAGTGGTAAGAGTCATAGTATAAGCCTTAAGTTCCCCAGTTCGACTCCAGGGCCTTTTCGCTTTTTTCTTTTTAGATTTTTTTCTGAAGTTTATTTTTAAGGTTCTCGCTGGCGACCCCCCGGTCGCTCGACATTTTTTTGGTGAACAGGGGTCGCCAGCGAAAACCTTAAAAAAGATGTCAAAATTTATCCCAAAAATTTAAAAAAAATCGAAGAAAGGGCATCCCAGGGATTATAAAATTTAAGTTTTCACATCTCTAATCAAGGCAAATTTCGACATCGGTTACAAGAGAATGAGAAATTCATATTTTCTCGAAGAAGACGTTTCATACACAGATGTATTCAAAATTTTCAATCAGCAGTACTTATTCACTTTTCATAGGAATAAAATGAATATATGGCCAAATATGTAAATCAATTGATTTCTGATGTTTCGCAGACCATAGTTCTCAGCGCAAATTCCTCTATCAATTTTGACAGATAAACTGATATCTGTCATGTAAACATTGCACTTTTTTGTCCAAATAGATCATCCTCTATTATCAAATTTCTAAAAATTGCGAGATTTTTCAAAAAAATTTCTGATATATTGTATTTTTCTTCATTCTATTGAAGCCATTAATAATCGCAAACCAAGAGAATCTTCCCTTCCAAGTGAAAAATTTTAAAATACATTCTCGCACACAAATTTTTAAAACTCATCCTCAAAACGTTAGAATATACAATTTGATTTTCGAAGTATTCTGGAATATTACATATAATTGTGTGGATTAAATATCTTGCTCTAAATATATCTCGGAGATTCAATTTAATCTAAACAAGACAAACCAGATCTTGAATACTACAGTAACGAATGATTTTATCTTCAACTTTTGGTAGCGGAACAGAATTCTTTTCTTTTTAGGTGTTTGTCGCTTTTGAATTATCAACACCTGAAATTTTGACTTCAAATTTTTTTCCTTGCTTGATTTTTTTGAATTTAAGTGATTGGAAGCACTAATTGTGATATATAAATGTGCACTATGCTGACATGTTATTGGGCAAACCCAAATTTTAGCTAAAAGTGACAGGGAAAAAAACGTTTAGTATTCAAAAAAAAGACCGATGAGAGCTTCGTTCGAAATATAGAGGGAACTGAGAATGCGCAACCATTCTCAGGGAATATTGGATGCTATTCCCGTTCCCTCTGTATGGAAAATTGAGGTTTTCAAAGGGAGTTAAAATAATATCAAATTTATACTAATTTACTTCAAAATACAAAAGTATTTGACAGCTAAAATTAGTTACTTTAGCAAGCCTATCAATACCCTTTTACGATTATTGCTACTTTTTCGAAATAAAATAAATTTATTATCAAAAACCTTTTTTTTCTTAGTAAAAATAAACGAAATTTTTTACCTTATGAACTTTTGATGGAAATATGCAAATTTAAAATAATAAAGAAAGCCGCGAGCGAAGCGATCGGCTTAGTTCGAAGATTTTGATTCAAATCTTTGCTGATCTGTAATTCGCGGAAGCCGCGAGCGAATCGAGCGGCTTAGGTCTAAGATTTTGATTCAAATCTTTGCTTATATTCCTTAAATTCTTTATGAAACTCGCAACAGTTCCATAAAAAATTTTAAATTCTAAACTGTCGAAATTACCGATCGGTAATCACACCCTTCACAGGTGTGTCACTTTTTACATGTGTGTCACTTTTAGCTAAAATTACCCCTACTCCATGTTATTGTTGTCAAATATAAGAATTTCAAAGAAATAAATTGAATTTCTTTAGTCCCCACTGGTCAATGTCCAGTGGGGACGACACAATGCAAAAAATTGACATAGAGAAAAAGGTGACATATTTTTAATGGAGCTACAGAAAGAGTTTAAGATAAATTTTGTTGTTAAAGGGAAGATACCGTACAATGGAAGACCAATGGGCAGATACACTGGCAGGGGGAATGGAAGAAAGAGACAAGCAAGCGAAAGGTCAACGATCGATCATACATACTTAGATCAAGAAGCTCTGGCAATACAAACATGTATTGGATCAAGTCGATATGTTTGGTATCAAAAATGTTCACCGAAGATGCTTGGTGAAATCTTGTTCCCTGAGAACAAGATCAAAGATCTTGAAAGATCTGTCGAACTGTTTACTTGTGATCACGTTCATTGATCTCGGTCTTCGGACTCTCAGCCACCATGAGGATTCCCTCATCAACAGAGGACTGTTTTTCGGTCACTTTTGGCTTATGAATGACAAGAGACTTAGCTGGGGTTTTCGTGAAGAATAGATCTCCAAGCCATTAAATTCATTGAATTTCGCCTCAAATTGGGATAAGTTACTATCGCTTTTATCTCATACCGAAAATAGGAATAAGCAAAAGTGACATTTGGCGCCAATTTTTACTATTCTTAAATATTCAACTTATTTTATCAAAAAAATATATCTCTGAAGTATAATTTTGATGATAATACAAATTCTCATAAATTAATTTAATATTTATAATAAACACAGTGATTCAATTTTTCAAAACTTTACATTTTTAAAATAAAAAGGAACCAAAACGTAGATATAGGACTCCTCCTGAAAAAATAAGCCTACGATGGCTTAAAGAAGCGGTTAAAAATATTAATCCCGGATCAACTCTCGAGGAATATGCTTCCAAAGATCAACTACATAATGGACAAATTATTCCAGTTTATGTAAAAACAATTAAAAAGGCTGCCAAAATACACCATTTGGAATTATGTCCAAAAAGAGGTAGACCTCTTATAGAAGTAGATTTGGATGTCGCTCAAGCCTTTTCAAATTTAAAAGACCATATGCCGGAAGCAGGAATAAACAAAATCATACAAAAAATGAGAACAGACTTAGTCAAAATATCCGAAAATCCAATTGAATTCCAAAATATGAGGTCAGAATTGGAAAAAATGGTGAAGTCCAATTCGATTCTGGAAATTGGCTCAACGAAGAACAGCGTTCAACATTTGTTGAGCAAGTTCCAGAGGCTACTGGAACTCCTCTACCAATTAATTCGGTCTCTGAATTTATGAAAACTGCGAGTTACATTGAAAAGCCTTTTAAATCGCCTTCCTATCGAATGGGAAGGAAAATACACGAAGCATTATTTACAGAAAAACCGTTTCCGCCAGAAAATGAAGAACCAAATTACATTCCAAGAAATTATCTTGCATGCCAGTGCCATGAAATCTGGCATGCAGATATTCATTATTGGAGGAAAAAAATCGGAGATTACCTGCTCGCCATAATTGACGACAGGTCAAGAAAGATAATTGACATATTTTAAATCCGTATGCCAAATTTGGTTTACAAATTCGGCAACGTATTCATTATCGTGAGTTTCTTTTGATTTTTCTCGATGAAATAAAAATAGGTACTGACTTTGAAATATTTTAAAGATATCGTTGTATGAGACGTTTTTATCATTGATAAAATAAGAGTCTTTAACTCTTTTATAACCAACATCGAATTCTGTTTTAGTTGTCAGAACTTTTTGTATTATTTCGTCATTTAGTGGTTTCCTTTGACCACCACGTTTTTTGATTTCGAGTTTGAGTGTTTGAAAAATGAGTTTTAATCTTTTTTACCGATTTGTAATTATTTTGCAATATATTCGAGAGATATTTTTGGATTATTTATATATAAATCGTATCTTTGAGGAATTGTTGTCAGAATTTGGTCCTCTGGAACATCAGGAAGAAGAAAAAGTGGAGCATCTATTGGATTTTCAAGAAGTTCCAAAATTTCATCCATGAAAAAATGTAAACTATTGAATATTAAGACATAGTTTTTGAATATTCTAAGCAATTTAAACTGATTATTATAAATCTAATGAAAATTAAGATTTTGAAATTTCTGAAATTGTAAATTAAAAAGAGATATATGTAAAATGTAAAGTGTCAAAAATGAAGTCAACCCTTTCATTATGAATCTAAGACATTAACTCAAAGCTTGAAGAATTCGAGCAAGGAAAGAAAGGATTGATTCGTAGGCTTCTTTTCTTTTATACATTGAGCAATTTTTAATTTTTTTCTATTTTCAAAATTGAGAAATTTCTCAATTCTCTCAAAATTCATTTTTTTTATTTTTAAATATCTTACTAAACTATTATAATTAAATAGTTGTGACCGTTTTAATAATAAAAATATATTAATCTCTTTTTACTTTTAAATAATAATTTTTAAATTTTGTTTCGTACCGAAATGGCTAACAAAAAAGTGACAGAAAACCTTAAATTGTGCGGCAATTTTAATTAAAAAAATAAACATGAATTTTTGTGATTGATATTATGCATTTTATTTATATTATATAAGATTTAAATTTAGGGGAAAAATTGGAAAAAAAATAAGATTGGAAGTCTTTAGGTAAGAAGGAAAGGGCAAGAGATATATAGTGTACCTATATACCTCTTGCCCTTTCATTCTAAGTAGAAATGGGAGAAACTTTGTCCGCATCATAAGTTATGCGGACAAAGTTTCTCCGATTTCTAATGGGAATTACAGGCTATGAGGCACTGATATATAATCAGTACCTCATAGCCTACAATTCCCCTTATTAGACTTCCAAACTTTGAGTTAATGTCAAGACATTAACTCAAAGTTTGGAAAACTTCTCGTAAGAATCAATCGTCAAAAACCTCGATTGCAGTTATATTCATTGTGTTAAATTTGATTTATTTTGAAATTTTTATAAATTAAATTTTATATAACATAAAACGTTATGAATTAGTATTTCCATATGAATTTTATCTTGAAAATAGTAATTTTGTACAGTTATATTTCGGTTAATTTTGGAAATTTCTTGGAATACTTTAAGATAGTATGATTATATATAACTCTGCCTTCATGATTTATTTTAGCTTTCGCGCAAATATCAGTTAACTTAACTCCATTATTTGATTTTGTGATGGCTTCACAAAGCCAATCAATATCAATCTCTTCTGGAGAATGTCTTCTCATCTAGAATATTTTCAATACTTTACATACAAACATTTTTATTTCTAAAAAACTTTTTAATTTTTTCTAGGATATATGAATGAAAATAGTTAGAACAAGATTTTGAAGCTCAAAACATTAAAAATTATTAAAGATTTGTATAATATGATTAAAAATGTGAAATAATATGAGGCAATATAAAGGAATATGAATATTAAATAAATATATCTAAATAGAAAGAATCAGAAAAATCAAATTATTGGCGCCAAAAATGTCACCTTTTTGGTGAGCCATTTCGGTATGAGATAAAATTTCGAATAAACAATTAAATATTATTAAAAATACAAAAAAATATTTTGAGAATCATGAAGTTCTTGTCTTTTAATAAAGATATTTCGTCTACCAAAGGATTTATATTTGGAGACGAATCTCTATGACCATTCTCATTCGAGAAGAACTTCTGAGAGCTTATCGAGAGAAAAGTGGAAACCCATCTCCGGTACATGCTGATACCAGAGTTTTTGATATTTGAAGAGTAGATGAAGAATCTGAGGTTGACCATCATTTTTTGTTGTCGATTTATTTGAAATTTTAAAATATGATATGATAAATATATGATTTTGATTGAAACTAATGTTATATTAAATATATAATATCTTTGAAATTAAGATATTTTTTATTTCTAAAATATGTTATTTTTAGATATTTTTATGAGAGAATTTATTTTAAATAGGATAGAGATGTTATATATAATATTTTAAGAATAATTTTGATACCCGCTTCCTTGTTTTCTATTTCGATGTTACTTTTTCGAAAAAATTCCTTGTTTCTTTAGATTTCAAAATCAAATTTCTGTAATATTATTAATCATCAATTGTAGCATTTTTACTTATATCTCTTTTTGCTTTCAAGTCGTTTTATAACAATCAAATTTGAATTGCCAATACTTCTTTGATAAAATGAACGTAGAATCTTTTTCTTCTTCAGGATATTTCTAATTTGGATTGAAATCTTTATATTCTAAACTATATCTTATCATTGATAACATTCGGAAATAGTTTCCCAAAAAGTGACAATTTTCGCAGGAAAATTATTTTTTTGTAAAAAATAAATAGCGCAAATTATTTGTTAATAACTTTTGATAATATGACTTAAATATTAGGATTTTCTCGCATATGTTCGTACATGCGAATAAAGAGTTTTTTATATAAAAAATTTTAGGAATTGGCATATAGGCATTTTGCAACATTGCCAAACTCCAGAGTTTAACTCGATATATGAACATAAATTGTAATAAACTGGACTTATTTCTATATTAAGATGTAAATCTACTAGAATTATAAAATGCACAATAAGTGCCTTTTCTTGGAATAGATAATAGCACATATGGAATAATTAATAATTTTTTTAATTACAAATAATTTTTTTATTCTTTACAGCAAGGGTTGATAAAAAATATTACAAATAATATTAATAGTGCCTCTATTCCTTTTTCTTTCAAAAAAATGTTTCGCACAGAAATGACTCATGAAAAGTGACGGAAAACCTTAAATTAATGAATCGTCTCAAACAAATAAATTAATAAATTTCAACTGATGTTAGCTGTTATAGACACTATAAAAGGCCCAAAACTTGAAAAATCAAGGATATCCAGATATTTTAAAAAAGTGACAGCGATTTTTTAATTCGTTTATTAATTAACTTAAAAGTGCCATAAATCCAAATGGAGCAAATCGATGAGGAACAGGGAACGCGCACAACGGTTTACAGGGAGTATGGATGCTACTCTCGTTCCAAGTTGAATCGCTTCATTTGGATGAGGCTTAAAGTTGCTAAATTTGGTCTAATTGTGAAAGACCAAATTTAGCAATGAAAGCGAAGGACAACGGCGAAATCAGACAGCATAATAGGCCGCTGCGGTCTGCCGCCTTGGTTGCCCTTTACTTTCAGGAGAACTTTCGGCTGATAAACATAGTTATTCAGTCGAAAGTTCTCTTATAACAAGGCCGTCCAGAACCTTGTTTCGTCGCTAAGTTTGGCTATCATTTTCCAATCAGACCAAACTTAGAGACGAAAACGAAGGATAGCTGCCACTTTGAACAACAGGATAAGCACCTTTTTTCAGTTGCTGTTATCCTTCGCATTTTACTAGAAAGCTGGGAAGCTTTGCCTATATGCTCAGTTATTAAGACAAGGTTTCCCAGCTTTATAGTAAAAACTAAAGGCTGTGAAGCACCGACATATAATCAGTGCCTCACAGCCTTTTGTTTCTTATAAAAATTGTAATTTAATAAAAATAATTGTTAATTCATAATATTATAACCATTCTAATTTGTACTCAGATTTAATTTCCAACATGAAATCTTTCTAGGTAGTGAAAATTGTTTTTGGGTCGTTGTAATTAATGAAATCTGAAATCTTTTTGAAAATTTCCACTTTTATTTTGGGTAAGGCCTTGCTATTTGTTACCACGTTGCACATTTCTTACTCCACACTGTCGATTTGTTTGAGCTTGTCTGGAATTTTTTATATAGTTAATAAAATGTTTTACATTAATTTTTCCGCTCATTAACAAATTATTCAATGCTTTCAATTTCATTTTTGCTTGATATCTAACTTGAAGATCTGGTGTAATCTCTGGCAAAATTGTATTATTAATTATAATTGGCAAATTTACATTGCTTTTCGAAATTAAATCATTAGTCAATGTAATAACGTATGTGCTATTTATTTTTGTAACTAATAAAAATATGAAATAATCAAATTTCATATGCAAATGGCCTCCAAAATCATAATATTTAACTTTTATAAATAGGCTCTCTAAAACATTATTTGTTAAAACTTCAGCTGGCTTATTACAAAAGACCCATTGTTTTTCATGTTTGAACCATTGATTTGAAAAATAATCGACAAGCTCTGAATTATTTGAAATTTTTTGTTTGATATAATCAATAATTGAATTGGATGTTACTTGATCAAATTATCTCGAGTAATTCAAATAATTCATTTTTCTTGTAATTTTTTCATACAATTTTTCATCTCCAAGAAATTTGTCTTTGTTTCCACGAAGAGCACACATAACATGTAACAAACATCAAAAAATTTGAATTTCTGGATTGTCATTAAATAATTCTGAGATGGCATTGAAAATATTGAGAGCACAATCCGTAATGAAATATTTTGGTGAATGGTGTGCCTATTCAAAAAAAATTTGTAAGCACAATTTAGAAATATTGGTATTGTATGCGTCTTTGCAAATCTGGTTGATAAAATGTAATAAGCATATTTGTGAATTATTAATTTGAAAGTTGAATCGATGCTAAAATTGAATGGCTGACATTTTTTCTTCATCATTAATGTCATATGAACCAAAAATAAAGTGTAATTTACAGTTTGAAACATCCGCTACATCATATTCAATTTCGAATTAATCTTTTGAATGTGTTTTCAATTTGTTGTTCTCTAATAATGGTTGGTGAAATTAATTCATTTAGTTTGGTGCAATAAAATCAATTGATTTTTTTGTGTGTCTGTCAAAAAATTTGAAAAATGTATCCTGATACATTGCCAAAAATTTGAAATTATGTACTAATGTATTTTTAGATTTTCATAAGCATTACTGAGTCCCGTAGATTTTTCGCCACCGTTTTCAATATATTCTGATAAAAATAAACGTAAAAATGTGAACTCAATTTTTTCAATTCTTTTGAAGTTGTATGTATATGCGTAAAACAACCGCTCATGAACTGATAAATGTCACCTTTTCTGATAAAATTTAAATGAACAGTACAGTCATCCATTGGGCATTTAAAATAAAGATACTTTCCGTTTTTGCTTTTCATTGATTCGGAAAATTTTAATTTGATATTTCCCTTCATTTCGAACTTAATTCCATATCTGAGAAAACTTATTTTTTCTAGGTATTGACCTACATTACATGGAGGAGGCATTAATGCTTGCGCCATTTTAAAAATTGGATAAATTAAGAAGACAATAAGAAAGAAACCAAGAACTAAAAGCATTGTCGAGGGAAGAATTCAGTCTAAATACAAGATGAAATTCTATATTCCAGAAAGTTTTTCGACTCTTCTAGATTGGATCAAGATAAGACTGTTGAGAAAAAACGCTTAAGCTTAAGTGATCTTTTTGATTGACTTTCATTAACAAATGCGATTGAATGGGACCAGAAAAATTTAACAATTGAAGAATCTCTCTTGAGATACATTTTTACAAGTCTATTGAACATTATGAGATGCCACAATTGTTGCTCAATGAAAGCAACGGATCGGCTAAAAGAATTGAAAAGGATCTCAAGAAATTGGATCAAACAAAATGATGACGTCGATAAGCTCTTCTCTAACTAAAATTTCTCGAATAAACACATAATTTTTATTCATTAAAACGAATTTTTATAGCACATATGATAACATATATTTTTATTCACTTCTATACCAACAATATACAATCATAAATGGAGGCATATAGTGTTATATAACAAAAATAGATTTTTTCGGTTTTTTTCAGAAATAATTGAACGAGAATAATGATTTCATGTTATTTATATTTAGTAACATGTATTAATACTCTATTTTAATTTTAGCAGTTTTGAGAAGATTGAATGTTTTACAATTATTTTTGAATTGAACATTAATTACTAAATATTCTTAATGTATATATTATGTTATATCTAATATATTAATTTAAGATTTGAATGATTGAATAATCACAAAAAGTCATCATATTCAATTTAAATGATATTAATAATGATTATATTAAAGATACTATATATAATAATAATATTTATTATTTGAAAGCATCTTCACAAAATTGAAATCTCACAATAAATAACAATACAATATTTTCACGTATAATATGTAATAATATATTATATATAAACGAATTAACTCATCTCAACTATGAATGTAAATTGTATACATTCATTGAAATTTTTGTTTGAGCTTCTCAATTGTTTTAATGGTGATCTAGTTTTAAAAAGTACCGAATAAATCACAGAGCTGCTAAAAGCGAATGCACAGAAATTTAATATTTAGTTTAAAGATATTATATACAAAGTTTTGTAGCTCTTCTCCAAAAAAATCAAATTTTATAAAAAAGTACCGAATACGTTATAGTGCTGCTAAAAAGTGAATGCGCAGAAATTTAATATTTAGTTTAGAGATATTATATACAAAGTTTTGAAGCTCTTATACCATTTATATTTATTTTTAAAAATAATAGCCTATATACTATTATTGACAAAAAGCAGTTAATGTTTGATTGATTGATATACATATTCATTTATCCTTTTACTTAATTTATTTAATTTTTTATATTTTTTAATAATACGTTTATCTCTTAACGTCAATTTACGTTTATTATGTTTAAATTTTCAAATCTAGTACGTTAAAACCCCATACTCACATAATTTTAATCAATGCAACCTTACAAAGGGTATGTTGACAAAGTTTATTTGATTGCAATATCAAATTTACTTGAAACAGGCAGAATGAAATGGGAAGAAGCTTGCACTCATGTTCCCATTAGACCGGAACTTGCAAGCAATATAATAACATATCAAGATGTTTCGAAAACCTATCTTAAAGATCAATTTACGAGACAAGGTTTACCTATACCAAAATCTAAGCGTGGACGTCGGGAAATCCCCTATGACCAAAATAAGTCACTTATGGTTATATCTGATCACTGGGCTTTTCCTTGTGGCCAGGCAAAACAATATCAACGCTTACGGCTGCAAGGAAATGATATCTCATATCGCGAAGTTCAAAAATATTTTCGATTAAATAATTATACTAGAACTCTTGTAGCGCACGTCGGCCCAGAAACTGCTCTTAGATATTGGGCATTATCCCCAATTTAATCTGGCATGCCGACGTGCACTATTTTAGGAGCGCTCAGCATCAATACATTTACGGTATTATTGATGATTTCAGCCGTAAGATTCTGGCGTGCATTCGCTTCGCTCGGATTCCACATACTGAAAACCCTGTATAATCAAAATCAAAAAACTAATTTTCGAATTAAATTGTGAAGATTGCAACACACAATTTTTTATTAGGGAAATATTGTACGTGAATACATTTTAAAAGGCTGTCTATTCATTTCCACCAAAGAGATGCATTTTCCATACAAATAAAACTCAATATTGATCGATATATCTGAAAAATACGAAGTGTCGGGTGGTGAATTTCACCTCACATCGTTTCGCTTCGAAAAGTAGTATACTTAGGACTATGGATGTTCAGATTTTCAAATTTTGATATCTCAAGGACACTAGTGTCTAGTCACCCTATTATGATTTTTTGTGCTATCGTAGGATAATAATTCTAGTGATATTATCGCGAAAATAGGACAAATTTCTTGAACTGTTCTGTCTATATTTAGGACAAAGTTTCTTGAACTGTTCTGTATAAAGCTTTATAGTAAGTGATTGGATCAATCTTTAGTCTGATCCATAATATTGAGTAGTGGTACGTTTACCAGCGCTGCTGGATTGTATGGTATGCATAAATTGGCGGTTAGCCAATGGGTATCTATTTTGGTATAGAGTTCCATAACAGAATGCAAAAGAATACTATTCAAAAGCTAGCCCAAAAAATAATTTAAAATATTGAATTATATTATATAACAATTAAGAATATTAATTAAAATTTAAAATCATATTTGAATTAAACTTCTATTATAATTGTGAAAATCTATTGAAAAGAATTGAAAGAATGAGTATTGAAATTTAGATAAGTTTTTAGAGGAAAAAATAAAAATAAATTATGAAATTTTGATGAAATATGGTTGATAACATAATAATATGAATGGGTGATATAAAATTCCAACCTCTTATGACGTTAACTCATAATTTTAATGAATCCAGTAAAGAATGCATATGAAAATGGTAATTTTGTGTAAAAATTAGAGAGAAAAAATTATAGTTCCGAGCGAAATTTAATATTAAAAAATATTATAATAATTAAAATATATTCATAATATCTGAATAATTGGAATTAAAATTTCTAGCATCCGAAATAAATGAAAACGATGACATGCGATCATAGTAATAGATTTCGTTAAAAATAATAAATTTGATTAGTAAATATGATTTGTGAGATAAATATATTAATAAAATAAAGAATAGGAACTCGATGGAATATTGAAATTCGTTATACATTTAAATAAGAAATTGTAGGGTCAGAGGTACATATTCATAGTATGTACCTCTTACCCTGCAATTCCTATCAGAAAGTTCCAAAACTTTGGGTTAATATCTTACAATTAACCCAAAGTTTTGGAACTTTCAAGTGGAGATGGAAGGCTTTGGTGTATATATTAATATAATATACCTCAAAGCCTTCCATCTCCACTACAAATTGGAGAAACTTTGTCCGAATAGTTTAACATTCGGACAAAGTTTCTCCCATTTTAAAAAGGAATTGCAGGATAAGAGGTACATATTCATACTATGTACCTCTTACCCTGCAATTCTTTCTATAAAGTGGCCAAACTTTGTATCATTAAAAACTTTTTGTAAATTAATAATTTGACACTTTACGTTGTCAAATCCGAATTTTCGTATATTAGAAACATGCTTAAAAATACAGCCAAGCAAGGTTTCAACAAAATATCTGATCTAATCAGACATTTCGTGGGAAAGCCTCCAATCGGTGGGAATTTTAATTCCCCCGATTGGAGTCCCTTCTAATATCTCAGTAAATTCTTGATGGATTACCACGTGAGTATATACAAATAGATACTCCTTTGATAGTAGTATCTTATCATGTGATTACTTTCTTGATTGGAAATAATCACTTCTGTTAGATCACACTTTATTTAATAATTTTGATGAATATGATGGGAATGAAGAATTTGACATTTTATATGATGAATTTTATAAAAGTATACAGCAATATTTAATCAAATGATTCTATAATAAAGCATTCTTCTATATATTATTCCTCTTTGAATTCTAATTTTTTTAATTTGATTATATCTTCAATAATATTTTCTCTTTTGAGTCATTATCATATGTATCCTGATGAAATAATACTAACAATTATGCATACAAAAGTTGCATCCAGGTTAATTTCCGCAATAATAAATGATTTCTAAATAATTATTATGAGCAATGTAACGTTGAAATCTCAAAGGATGACCATTTGTATTTATGATTAATGAATATTTAATACGTGCGGGAAATTGAAAATGTATGATAAGTCCTATGAATATTTTTGATTCTTTTTCGGTGAAACTCTTTATCTTTATCATCAAAAGATTGATAATTAGGAATAAGTTCAACGCAAGCTTTATTAACGATAATAGATTGTTTATGCGTTCAAAAATTATTTTGGTAATCATAAGCAAAATTTGGCACTAGATGTGTATTTTGTAAATCTGTTATAGGAAGATTTTCTGTGAAATGGTTAGAAATTTGTGAAGAATAAGAAGCAATTTCATTAGGTAGTGAAGATTGATGTTGAGGGATGTGACGCGGAATATCCGAATTTATTGTTGCATTTTGTCTTTGAGTTAAATTTTGAGGAGTGACTACACTTATTGTTGCATTTTTCTTTGATTTGTGTTTGAGGAGAAACTGTATTTATTGTTGCATTTTGTCTTATATTTGATAAATAAGATAGATTAATAAAAAATCTAATATTTACAGAGAAAAGTGCTCGGTTTCCCTCATTTCCCCAAATAAAGGTGGCCCGTTATTCATTATGGCAGAATTGTCACTATCACTATTGTTAATAATTGCAGTTATAAGCAAATTGATTTGTCCCATAACGATAGTAATATTTGTTAACAAGAAGTTATCATCAGTTTTCAAGCAAGTGTCGAAGCCAGCTTACCTTCTGTATTCATAGCATTAGTCTTTTATAAAAGGTTAAGGGATTTGTCAGTTTACATTTTAAAGTGTCAAAATATTAAAAAAAAGAAATTGGTATAAATATAATAAATAAAATATAAATATTAATAAACACATTCGAAATTTATACGTTTAATTCTTCCTATGGCGCCCAAAAATTTTGTCCGAATGCGAAACTAAACGGACAAGATTTCTCAGCTTTAGATAAGCAATTTAAGGCTACATGGCACTGATTATAGATTTTTGATTTGTAGCCTTCAATTGCTTTGCTAAAGTCTTCAAACTTGGGGTAATGCGAAACAATTTGACATGTAAACCATAAAGTGACACGACCCTCTTTGACACGCAAAACAGATTTGCGCTTTTCGTGATGTAAAATATATTTCATTCATAGTGACCGTCGTAAAAATATTCTCAGAAAATAATAAACGACGTCAAAAATTCTTATCAATTGTGCGTCGTAAAAATAATTGTCTCAATTTGTTCTCCAAACTAAACTACTCAAAATGATGGAGATAAAATATCCTCTCAATATCCGAAAAGCACAAATCCATTTCGTCGGGTAGAAATATATTTTTTATATCGTCAAAAGTGTCATTTTTGGATAATGTCTCCCAAGCAATCCGCCAAGAAATTGAAGTGCATTCACCTTGTATCAGATGACTCCAGTGTCTTTACCCGTGAAGAGGACGGCCCAGAGAACCCACCACCACCAGTGCCAATAGAATTACAAGTCCGCAAATTTGCCAAAGTCGAAATCCTATAAGAAGCACTCGTACATCAAACAGACAAGATCGTTGAGATTCAACAGGATTACAATTACAAATTGTTCCTCAAAAGAAGTACCATTTTCAATGACCCATTAATATTTTTGGTATAATCAAAGTCCCCAAAAACTTTTCCTCCTCCTATTTTTTTGTGTATGTGTGTGGGGGCAAATACACCTTTTTCCCGTACCTATATATATACATCAATTTTTCTTCTTGCCGTTACACTGCGCGCCGATATAATCTGAAAATGAGCTTTGTAAAATTATCGGATCCGATATATACTAATGAAATCATTCTTTCTTCATTGACACTTTTTGTGACACCAGTCCCCACAAAAAGAATGTAAACTTCTCAAAAATAAGCAATCTCTCTTAAAAATTGAATAGTTTACGTAGCAACGCTTCGTGACCGAGTAATTAGTGATCTCAAATCAAAATTAATTGATGAGATTCATAGATATAGTATCTACAATGTAAATTTTCTGAAATCTCAAGAATCTTATATTACACTTTTGTGAATTTTAATGGTGCACTTAAACTTGAATTCATATTGTTATATACGAAAACGATAAAAATAGTTTGACAGAAAAGTGACAACTTTACGTGTCAAAAATATAAAAAGTGGCATTTTATTCATCATTATCTTCTTCATAATTTATTTCATATTCTTCTTCATATCCACCTTCATATTCTTCACTTTGTCCCTCCTTCTCTTTTTTACCATCTTTATTATCGATTTCTTCTTCCTCATCTTGGAGTTCTGGTATTTCTCTAGCCTGTACTGATCCTGGGAGAAAGTCTTGGGTAACTCCATCAACGACCCATTTGACAGGAATTCCTGGTCTCCAAATGGGCCCCTTCATCCATAATTCATTTGGACTATAATTGATTTTCCTTCCATTGAGAAGACGTGTCGGTAGTGCGGCATGGGGCTTGGAGTTATAGGAATTGACCCAACTCTGAATTTTACTCCATGTTAGATTGCGGTTTTCTATATTGGGCCACAATCGCTCAATCTTACCGTTTTGGTAAGGGCAATGTGGCACAATATAGACATTTCAAATTCCTTTGCATCTCATCGCTTGTAGGAATTCACCTCTATTCTCTCCTCCATTATCAGACCATATGGTATGAGGGGGACCAAAACGTTTTATGGCCCGCTCAATTACCTTAACGGTCTGATTTGCATGTTTGGAGGAGAGATGCTGCCACTCCAAAACCATTCTGGTACAATCATCTATTACTCCATACAATAATTCACTTCTGCGTTTATTGAGAAAGTGAATGTCAACGTGCCAGATTTGATTTGGAAGTAAAGCCTCGTATCTTGTCCTCCCTTTAGGTCTCTTGGGTCCCCGTGGACGTGTTAATCCAAGAATGATAAAAGCCTTTTCGACCATATGCCTTGATGGAGCCTGAGGTAGAGGGAGAGGAAGATATTTGATATTTTGTAAATTTATAGCATATGGAGTAGGGTTATCATCTTGATTAATGTCAGCGGGGATTTCTTTAGAGATAAGATTGAGAGGCTTGTCACGTCGCACATTCTGAAACCAGTCCTGTGTTGAGCTCATAACTGGAAGCAGGCCATCTTTCATTCGAACAAAATCTTGTTCATGTCATGGGCGAATGCTATATCTTTATTAAGCCTAAGGTAAGTGGGGATGATACCATGTCGCCCATGTTGTTCGAATAAATTGAGAATGGCCTGCATGAGATCATCAGGAACTGGTTGTTTGGGTCTACCACAGGAAAGTGGAATATCAACAAACTGGTCGTGCGGACGAGATTGAGGATTAGGAGGATTGGCACGTTGACTTGATTGATCGGAACTGATGGGATTAGGAGCAATTTGATTGTATGTACCAGATGATTGGTTTGAAGGAGTGGCTTGAGGATTTAACTGTTGTGCACTACTAAGAGAAGATGTACCATTGCTGGGTCTGAGCTGTTGTTGTGCACTACTAAGAGGAGATGTACCATTGCTGGGTCTGAGCTGTTGTTGTGCGCTATTAAGAGGAGTAGAACCATTACTCTGTGTAATTTCTTGTTCTTCCAAGTATCGATTCAACAAGATCTCATCTTTTGTTGGTAAGACTTCAATGCAATTGTAGAATTTTCCATTATGGAATATGTATAAACTTGTAAATTCTCTGGACGAGTGCTTGTAAAACTCTTCGATAGTAATAAGACGAAAGCACAGAAGGCTTTTGTAGTAAGTTAACTTGTTAATGCAATTACGTGATGTACCATCGCTGAGTGGAACATTAGTCAATAGCAACGATAGCTTTTGATGTTGGTGTAACCTGGTTAGAGATTGCTCTAGCCAGTGAAAGTCTATTTGGGTATAAATATCCAAGAGAATGAATTTTGAATAAATAATAAATTGTGAACAATTGAATAAAATATAGAAAATATAAATAATTTTGAAAGATATTATTGAAAAAATATTTTTCACAAAAGTTGAATTCAAATTGTAAATTTTTTAAAAAAATCTTTAAAGTGAAGAAAATAAAATTGGACAATGAGAAAACAACAATGAATTAAAAATTAGTGAATAACTACAATGGCGAAATTAAAATTACGATCAGAATAATTTTTATAAAAGAATGTGTTAGAAATTAGTAACGATTAAGATAAAATAAAAATTTGGGGAACGAGAAAAGTGATTGAATATTGGTAAACATGAATTTTTATTGAAAAATAAAATGAGATTAAGATTCTAAGCAGAAATTTTTAAAAATTAGAAAAATAAAAAACAATAAAGATAATAAAAAATTTGAAACTAAAAAAATCAAAAAATAATGATAAAATAAATGAATAGTTGAAGACAAATAAAAATAAAATGTTATCAATAAGAAAATAATTTGAATAGGTTTCAATATAGATTGATCAATTTATGAATGGGAATCCAAAATTAGAACAGCCGAATTGGTATATTGATAACAAATGATATTATGTTATTAATAAGGTATAAATGTTTTGAATCTAATTCAAATTAATTTTGAATATGAAATTGAATAAGATTGAAAAATTAAATATATAGAATTTTGAATGAGTTTCCGTTGAAATGAATGTTATGGAAATGTAGAAAATATTAGCCTTTGGATGAATTGGAGGGTGAGAGATATTATTTCATACAATACTACTCTCACCCTCAATTTTAATTACTTAAACTCATTCTATTTTTTGACATGTAAATGTCACTTTTACTGAGATCTGACACAATGTCAGATCTCTTTTTTTCGTATATAAGAATATCCTTCGCGTCCGATACAGAAAAATTGAAACGATTGAGGGGAACCGACGCAAAGGATATGAACTGAGAACTGTAAATATATCAATTTTTTCAGAGCTAGAAAAAAAATAATACTATATTTTGCATGATTATGCAAAATCTTCAAAATAAAATTTTGGTTTAGAAATTTTTCTGAGGAGATTTTTGAGGGACGATTATAAAAACCTTCGAATAATGCATATATTAATACCTTATTCTAAATGCAATAAATTTTCAATCTTTGAAAATTTCAAAGTATAAAAATTTTTGGACTAATATTATTCCGCTTTATGCATGTTTTCATTCCAACCGATAGGTGTCTGGAAGAATTTTGTCTGTGTCGTCTTAGTGTCTTTTGTTGAAAATTTTCTTTTTAAAATTAATTTTGTTTATTTTCACGATAAAAAATATATAAATTTAATTTTTTATTATGGCATAATTATTTTATATTAGATACTGATTCTAGATTATGAATATGAAGTAGATTTGTTTTTTCTTAAGTGTCTGACCAAACCTCCAGACACAATTGAATTTTGTGAGAGTCTTACGGTTAGTCTGGACACTCAGTAAATTAACAATGATTTGGACGCAATTCAAATATAACCCTTTTATTGAATATTTTTACCTTCTTATTAAATTTATGAAGTTTTTCTGAGAGATGGCCCTGCCATAATGAGCGATGATCATTATTTTGATGGCTGGATTGAAGTTAACGATAATAAATATCCTCCATTTCCAGGAATATTAGAATGCAAAATGGATCCATCGAATGAATATTTTGTGATTTATAGAAAAAATATTTTAAAAAGAATCCAAAGAATAAAAAAGAACTATGTAGAAATTATTGTTACTGTATGCAGCACAACCGCGGAATTAATGGAGAAATATATCGATGTAATTATTGCCGCAAACCATCAGAATTTCAGGGGGCGGTGCCATGTGAGGTGAAATTTATCATACACCGATTGGACCTTTTGCTTTCCCGAAAACATAGAATTTATATTGGGGGCCAAATATATGTGCATATATCTATACTAATCAAGCCATATTTACTCATATAGTATTGAGGAATAATGTGTTTTATATAAGATATGAATTTCAAAAATTTTGTTTTATTTCATTTTGAATACCATGAGATATCTATATATATACTCTATATTGTGTTTGTAAACTCATTTTGGTCACATATCCATTTTTTAATCTGCATCTTATTTGAGATTTCAAATTTTTATCGACAATCATATATGATCACATCGACATTTGGAGATACTTATCTTGTGTCTCCAAATATCGATGTGATCATTGTATTTAATTGTATATTGACCAAGAGATTCCGATGCAGAATATTCAAAGTAGATAGTTTTTCCATTCTGTACACATAGGTGCAGGGTCTATCACTGGCACCCTGCACCAATATGTGCAGAATGGGAAAATCTTGCACTTTTACCTTTCGATGCGAATGTGTCGGACATAATTCCTGATTTGCTCATATATTTGCAGGGTCTATCACTAGGACCCTGCACCTATATGAGCAAATCAGGAATTGCTTGCACTTTTTCACTTGAATGTGATTCATTGAATTTCAATTCGAGAAAGGAGTTTACAAATGCAAGGTACTGTTCCTTTACCCTGCATTTGTAAACTCCTTTCTCGAATAGCTTGCACTTTTTTCAAAGAATGTTAAACATCGAATTTCAATTCCTTCTTGGTGGTTAATTCAAACACGCGAAAAACTTGAATCTCGCGAACTCAATTATTTAATTGCGTGTAAGCGAGTTCCATACGAGGATGAAATGAAGTGTGAATTTAGATCAATTTCGAAAAACACACTTAAAGCAGCATACACAAATGCAAATTTAACACCCCCAAACGTTAAACCTGGTCCGGCACCAGATGATATTACTCCTGAAAATTTGCAATATGTTCTCCAAAAATTTCAGGAATATAAGTGCGGAATCCAAAAGATGTTTTGGCGTTTAAACATGGATCAAAATGTTTATTCAGTTTCCTACAATAAACTCAGAAGAATTTACAGTATTTTGGAGATCAAAGAACCAAAAAGTGACAGGCCCCCTCAAAAATATTATACGCCATATGAAGCAACAAAACCTGATACCATATGGCATGTAGATGTTCATTTTTTATACGGTTCACAGAGGTTACCTGCTTATGGTATAATAGACAATAAATCTCGGTTTTTGTTGGCTTTAAAAATTTTGCCAAATAAATCTTCCGAATCTACAACAAGAGTTGCCGAAGAAACGATTGGCTTATATCAAAAGCCATTTTGTTTCTGGTCCGACAACGGGGGAGAGAATATGGGCCAATTTTATAATTGGCTCATGCAAAACAACATTCAAATCCGCCACACTCTCCCCCATATGCCGCGCCAGAACGGCAAGATTGAAAGGCTCTGGCGGTCTCTTGAAAGAAATGTCGGCCGGTCTTCAAATGCAAAACAAATTCAAGAATTTCTTGATAAATTCAGGAAAAATTACAACTCAGTACCACATAAAACCCTTCCCAAAAAGGGTTTTCGCCCCATGACTCCAGAAGAGTGTTACAATGAGACACCACATTGGAAACAGGGTGAAACGCCATTTTGGAGAGTTATGATTGATGGACACTTCGAAATCAAAGAAATACCGAACCATTGAATACACAATTACGAATAAACGCTTAATTTTTATAAAAATCTTATTACATTTTTCCTGAATTTTTAAATTGTACAATAAAGATGGAAGGCTTTGGGGTACATATTAATATCATAAGACGAAATGGTGGAAGTGAACTCAAAATAAGAGTAATTAGGTTATTTTGCCGACCAAATATATTTACAAGGCAAAATATCATATTACATGTCAACCTATTATCAGTATGTTTTGATAAAAAAATTTTATCAAATATCATATTAAAATTAACATCTATATCTATATCAATATCTACACTATAAATTTTTTTATTCAATATCATAGATTTCAAAAATTTATTTCAATTTTAAATTAATTTATGGTTTTCATCAAAATTGTTTTTTATTAAAAAGCATGTTTCACAATTTTTACGGTTTCTTTCAAAAGTTATAAAATTTCAGATGAGTCGAAAGATCTACGATCTAATTGATATAAATTGGATTCAATCTGCAATTGAACAAATTAATCAAGGTCAAAAACTCAAAACAATACTTAGCAATGTCCAACTCACTGATGGACGCATTATACCATCAATATCTAAAAAACATTCCACTTAGCAATTAAATCAAATGGAATTTCTGACACAAAATTTAAACCAGGGCGTAAACCAATCGAACCACCTGAGGAATTATTAGATACAGTAAATAAATTACATCAAAAAGTTAAAAAATCGGAATATCAAGAGCATACGGAAGAATTATTACCGATAAGGATATGTTAATTCAAAGGGAAACCCAAAATGCTAATCATGATTTAGATGATTTACCAATTTCACAATTAAATACAAATCCAATAGGTTTTTCAAATTCTTCAGAATATCTTTCTGAGTATACAAATTCTGATTCTGATTCATCAGCAGAAAAACTTTTTTCTTCCAATTCTTCCGAAGAAGATCCACAAATTGAGTCGGAATTATCTGAAGATCCATATATCGTTCATACAGAAACTACTCAAAATTTGGAAAAATCAACCGATTATTTTAACAAAAAATTATTGGAAACAAACTTTTCAGAAAGAACTGTAAAGAAGTGTTTCAAAATTCTGAATATCGTTCAACCTGCCAAAAATTCAGTACCAAAAGGAAAAACAAAATACGAAGCAGTATATATAAACTTAATATGGCATGTCGATATTCATTTTTTTAAACATCGTCAGGGTGAATATCTTTATGCGGTTATTGACGATAAATCCCGAAAAATTTTAGCATGGGCTCACTTGGAAACAAAAGAAGCTGCGCAAACAAGTAGAGTAATTGACCAATGTTTCCAAAAATATGGGAAGCCTTTTGCTATATGGAGTGATAACGGAACAGAAAATTTTGGTTTTTTTCGAAATTTATTACAAAATGCGAACGTTCAAAGTATTACAATTCTCCCACATTGCCCATATATGAATGGGAAAATTGAAAGGTTTTGGCAAAATGTGGAAATTGAAGACGCCACATGGAATGATATACAAAGTCTTATAGAAAATTACAATTCAAACCCACACACAAGTTTACCAAAAAACCCGACATTACATACATGGTACACACCTAACAAATTTTACGAAATTTCAGAAAAATATGATTCAAGTAAATTACCGCTTTGGATTGTAGATGGAGTTGTTAAAGATCTAAGAGAGTCAATAAGAAATTTCAACGCTTCAAGAAGGAATCAAAGAAATTGACGAAGTTCCAGAATTTTATTCAACAATTCTTAATCAATTAACAAAAACTATACCGAAACTTATCTTACCATCCAAATCAAATCACATTACATACGGAATAAACATTTAATCTTTTACCATTAAAATTATATTTATACGTTATTTAATTTTTTTACGTCTAAGTTGAATAGGATAATAGCCGAAGATATAAAGTAACTATAGTTTACAAGCTAAGGAACAAATCAGCATTGAAACTAAAAAATGCTGAAATATTATAATAAATTGAAGAAATACTGTGATAGAATACCTAGTTATACTAGATACTATTATAATATGAATTCATGTAATGCATGAAAAATAGCGTGACTTCATTTTTGACAGTTTACAAATGTAAAGTGTTGCGTCCTTAAAAACTTGCAAATATATACATTCATGAATTATCTTGTATATTAATTGAAAATCCATAAAACCCTAACAATATTTTTTCTTAAAAAAACTATAAAAATATAAATAAAATTAATCGTTAAATAAAAATATTTGATATTAGAATTTTATTGGAAAAATAAAAAACTTAATATTTTAAAGAAATACTTAAATACTTGAATGTTTTAACTTTTATATTATCATATAGACTCTCAAATTATTAGCCATTTTGGCTGAGAACTATGGTCTGCGAGGTACATAGATAGAATCAGTACCCCGCAGACTATAGTTCTCTATATGGCGCCGAAAATTTTTGGTGAAATGTCGTCGCATTTCACCAAAAATTTTTCGGCGCCATAGGAAGAATTGGAGGGTGTGAGATACTATTACATGCTATAGTACTCACACCCTCCAACTCCCAATCAAAATCGCATAAAATTTGCTACTTATCTTCAGATTACCTCCCATTATAAAATATATCATTGCTATCTCATCGTACTATATTTCCACCCTATTGTATTTAAAAATATAAAATTTTTTGATAATATATTTTTATATCTTGAATTTTCAAACAATATATTCACAGATAATATAATGGGAAATCTATTTCAACCTAGCCTTAAAGTACCAAACTCCTGCTTGCATTCTCACTCACAAATATTAAACATCCATCTCCAAAAAACTAAATTCTTCACAATTTTTTTAAAATTGAGAACATAAAAAACGTATGCATTCAATAATTTAAGATACTAACAAATATTAAAAACTTCAAAATATCAGATATTAACGTTTTTCAATTAAAAAAAATATCATTTTGCTTTTCAATTCGAACATAAATCTTAAATATTTTTAATTAATATCTGATTTACAGCATTATTATCCATTTATAAATCTGACAAATAAATGACAAAACCATCAGAAATACTGTCAGTTTTTGTCAAAAGTGAAGTCACGCTATTTTTCATGCACAACAATAATATGAATTCATTTGTATTGAATATCGATTAAAATAAGATGGAACGTCAATTTGACAGACTCAAGTTTCGAATTAGAGACCAACTTTTATCAGCATAGTATATGTGCGCAAACTACTGCATAATGGTATGCTTATCTTTTCATTTTAAAAAATAACGTATTTGAATAATTTCGTAAAAATTAGAATTACTCTATATTAAGCATATTGCTTTTCTATCATATATGCTTATATTCTACAATAGTGTTACCAAACATCGGGCAACATCATACGTATAATACAACTTTTTCGTACTTCTTTATCGAATTTAAATAGAACTAAGTTTTTATTTTAAATAAAAGAGAAATAATTCTAATTTATAATCTCATTATTAATTTATTCTCATTTTAATATTTCATCGATTTTTTATTATCGATATTCAATACAAATGAATTCATATTATAATAGTATCTAGTATAACTAGGTATTCTATCACAGTATTTCTTCAATTTATTATAATATTTCAGCATTTTTTAGTTTCAATGCTGATTTGTTCCTTAGCTTGTAAACTATAGTTACTTTATATCTTCGGCTATTATCCTATTCAACTTAGACGTAAAAAAATTAAATAACGTATAAATATAATTTTAATGGTAAAAGATTAAATGTTTATTCCGTATGTAATGTGATTTGATTTGGATGGTAAGATAAGTTTCGGTATAGTTTTTGTTAATTGATTAAGAATTGTTGAATAAAATTCTGGAACTTCGTCAATTTCTTTGATTCCCTCTTCCTCGCAATACAACTCCATATCATTAACTTGTATTTAAAGGCTTCCATATACAAAACTATATATAATGTTTGAAAGTTAAATCCAATCTTTTTCTATTTCTAAAAAAATTGAGACCTAAACACGAGATAGCTTTCAGAAAATTTTCAGGGACATTTTTAATCATTTTTTTATTTATTGTAATATCTTTGTTATTAAATTTGAATTGTTTAATATTTGAATGTAAAGAATTGAATAGTAATAATTTTAGTTTTAATACATAGCTAATTGCTAAGCAAAATAATTAATTTATTGTAATTTTGACATGTAAACTAAAGGGGAATTTAGCCGGCCAAATATATGTCACTTTTTGACTTCACCTCACTTCCACCATTTCGTCTTATGACATTAATATAAGGTCAGGTATGAGGGGCTTCCAGGGGCTGCGCCCCTTCTAGCCCATAAGAAATTTTTGTTTAGATTAAAATTAAAATTTTTATTCTGAAATGTTTGCTTTAATGTTTTTTACGGATGGAAATGAACTGGATATCGTCTGAGTCTTCGCTTGTTTCCTCCTCTTCTTCTTCGTCCGAATTGTCTTCATCTTCACAATAACCAGATAAGAAGATGGTTATTGTGGTTTGTTCTGGTTTTTTGAGAAGCATTTTGGCTGTGCCAGTAAAAACGAACTCAAGATTTTGATAGAATTGTCTGCTTGAGTGAGTGAATTTGCATACTGTAAGTGGCATTGCAACTCGGTTTGCTTGAACAGATATTATTGAAACTTCTTCTCCATCTGGTATCCGTTCAGGAATCTCTAAAGCGGCTGTTGTTATAATATGCATATTGTTTTCGTAATGCAATTTTGGATATATTTCGAATGGATGTGCAGCTACACCAGCTGGAGCAACAATGGAAAGATTCCAGGAGAAAGAACCGCGTTTGTTTTCATCTTCTTTCCAATTGTAAGTTAAAGGATAAGGACGAAAGTCGTTGAGTGTTTCATATAGCTGTTCTCTTAAGTTTGGTTCACAGCAAATAATGAACTCGTCAATTGCTTGAAGAGATATCATAGTTGAAACATAAGGCAAATTCGACAAGAAAAAGTCAACCATTACTGTCGGGTTTTGAACTTTGTTTTCTAATGTTTCGACTGGTTTTATTATACTTTTGAAATATCTATCATAGTCATTGTTGTCTGTTAAGGACAAATTGTTTGGATAAGCTGCAATGAGTCTTCTATATCTTGCTTCTGTTGTTGAGAATGAGAAGACACCTTCTGGTTCTGTAGGAGTGTAAGTTTTTAGTTGAACTTTGCGTGTGTTTGGTGTCTGATTTGAGTCTGATTGGACTGAAACAACTTGAGCTTCTGTAGTTTGTTGTGTTATTGTTTGTTCTGAAGGTTGCTCTGATGTTTGTTCGACTTCTGCAGTTTCTTTTGGTTGAATTTGAGCTTCAATTTGTGTCTGATTGGAGTCTGATTGGACTGAAACCTGTGTAACCTCTTTGGACATACTAGTAAAGTATGAGGATATAAGTGTTTGACCTTTAAAGAGCTTTTGTAAAGAATTGTCAGTCATGCTACTACTGTGGTCTTGCATTAGACAAAAATGAACTGACCAGAAGTTTGTGGAAAATGAATATTGAATAAAAACCGTTTTCGTCAACGGTAACCCCCTCTATTTTTTTATTTTATTTAATAGTTACCGTTGGAAAACCGTTCCATCTCAAATATTGAATGAACTATAAACGTTTTTTGTTTTCTATATATACTTTTTTGTCCAACGGTAAAACTTTTTACACAACGGTTTTTGAGAGTCGTCGCCGTTGACTTTTTTGTAGAGCACTCAAAATAGTATAACTTTGTCCGGACAAGTAAGGGTCTATCGTCGCTACAGGAAAAGTTACAGGCGTTCCAAGGAAGTATACTTTGAGAAGCCTTTTCCCCTTATAGAATGAGATCGGACGGTTATTTTACAAAACTGACAACACTTTGACCGAGTAGTTTTTTGTGCTGAACAAATAGTGTCATATAAACATCTGTCAAAAACCGCTTTTTAACTTCACTTAAAATGCCACGTAAGCTACGTAAGAATATACGTAAGAGGAAGGGAGCATTGAAACATCCAATAGTAAAACTGACACCACAACAACAGTTGCAACAACAAATGATGAATGACCCCACTATGTTGCAACAAATGTCAAGCAACCCTATGCTTTTAAACCGAGTTATTGGTGCACAGAGTGGAGGTTTAAGAGCGGCACTTTTAGCGAAAATGGCAGGCTATGGTGGAGCTGCAGACGGAACAGCTTATAACCCTCAAAGTCAAATGAATTTGAGTTCACTCAAAAATCAAATAACAGATGTCAAAAAGTCAAACATAGACATACAGAAACAAATAAGTGAAAACGAAAAGAAACTAGAATATGACAGACACACAAAGAAACTCAATGAGTTAAACGTAGAGAAAAAGAAGAAAGAAGAACAACTGAAAGAACTAAGTACAGAGGAATATGCGAAAAAAGTGTCAGAAAAAGCAGCAGAAGTAGCAAAAATGGAACAAGATGTTATAAATTTGAAAAACCATACTACTCAATATAAAGTACTGAAAGATGAAGAGATAAAACAAAAAGCCCTGAAGACATATATGGATAGCGATGAGTATAAAAAAGAAGTTGAAGCAAATGTAAAGGCAGAAAAACTTTTACAGTTGCAAAACCAAACCGTACAGTATGAAAACTTAGCACAAGAAAGTAAAAATAACGACGCAGCCATGCAAAAGGCAATGAAAAGCGCAGAATATATAAAAGCTAATAATGACTGGTTAGATGCCCAAGCCAACGCTAAAGCAGCCCAACTTATAGGGTCAATAAGGACAAAAATACAAGCGGATGAAGACAGTTCAAATGAAGCTTTAATGAATGCTGACTTTAAGAATGCCTTCGAAGCTCTTCATAGTAAGGTGAAACTAGTGAACGACTTCTCATCTGGAAAGAAACTGAAGTCTGAAGGTTTCGACAAAGAGTTAAGAGAAGTAGCACAAAATATGACGAAAATAACAGATGCAGCAACGAGACAGGCAGTTCAAAGTGCCTATGACGCCGTTAGAGCAACTGTTGTGGAAAGTCAAGAAAAAGAGTTACAACAGACCAAAACAGACCTAGTAAATGCTTTCTTAAGAACGAAAAGTCAGGTAGGACATTATGCTGCAGATGGAACATATGTGCCAGCTGGTGGAACTTATATACCACCAAACCCTCCAAGAGAAGCACCTGCACCAGGACTACCTAAAACATTTACATCGTCACATGGACACAGACACAGGCATGCACCACAACAACAACAACCAACATTCAAAACCAGCACAACAACCAACACAAAACCAGCACAACAACCACTCAAAACCAGCACAACAACCACACAAACAGAGCAAGGACATAAAAGAAGTAGAGAACAAGGAAACCAAGAATTCTTAAAAATGCTTAAAGAAGAGTGTGGTTTCCCAGATACTGTTGACTTTAGTGACAGATATAAAGAAGCTATTAGAAAGTTCAAGGATGGAAATACTGACCCGAACCTATTTAGCTTTATGGCTCAGCACCAAAACGGATATAATCTCAAACCTGGAAAATACAAGCTCGCTAAGGGATATGATTTAATAGCATATCATCCAAATGACATGGATGAATTTACTCCGAGATATTTGATGTCAGAGCTAAATGACAATTCAACTTTCGTCATGAAACGCGTAAAAAATAGAGACGGAACGAAAAAAAAAGCTTATGAATGCGGATGACGTAGATAGGGAAATTGTTGAAAACGGTCTCGGAATATATGAAATGCCAGCAGATGAGGTACAAGAAACTCCACAGGAAGAAGTTCAGATACAACCAGACATGGAAGAAATAGTTCAGCAACAACAGCTAGAAGAGCCTGAAGGAAACGAACAAGTCCTCCTTTGGAAACTAACTTCACAGAACTAGATGAAGATTTGGAACAGCCGAAAAATCTTGACCCTCAACAAGAGTATGCGGAGAATATGGAATCTTTCCAAGAGTCTAAAAAAAATTCGGCTGACATAGTAGAAGAATATCGAAAAATGTTTGCCGACATACAAAAGACTCCAACATCAGATGAAAATATTCAGCATAGAATGGAAGTACTGAAAAAAATGTACACAAATACAACAACCCTTTTTACTTACGAGCATTTAACGTTCAATCTTCGGATGAACTCGGTGAAAATAAAAGGTTAAATTTCAAAAAACATATAGAAATGAAACATTGTTTAAAGTTCATTCAGAACCTAACCAAGATGGAAACAAACCTACTTTTGTTTCTGCAGACGATGGAACTACAATGAGATGGGGTCATAAAGCTAATCCGGATAGGTGGTTCATAAACTTACAACCACAATTCCAAGAAGTTGTAGACGCAATGGAAGTCAATGGTGAACCAGATATAGCTGGTATTTTCAGCGCGGCTTTAATGCCATTGAAAGATATGAAACATGCAGATATTTTGGACCAGTATGAAATGAACATGGCTGATGGAAATATAACACCTGACGTTCTAGAACATTTATCTCAAAGAACTACACAGAACCATAGAGATGGTATATTTGGTGAAGAGTTTAGAAAGAAAGTTAGGGAGAGAGAAGGAAGAGAACCTATTGTACATGACCTTGCAAACGAAAGTTTACAAAATGTCATAAAAACTTACTTTGCAGACAATGAACGAGAAGGGATGAATATTTAAGAAAACTCAAATGGACAGTACCAAATGAAATGTTAGTATTGAAAAACATGTTCCTTGACAAAATAAAACCAACTACAGAAATAAACGACGCAAGACTGAAAGATTGGGTAAAAGCTTTCCCATTCACAAAAGATATAGTTGGTAACATGGAAAGAAAACCAGAATGGCTACAAAAACATATATTTGGAAACGAGCTTATTCCATATGGACAGCACTGTTTGAAGAGCTTGAACCGGAAACTCAGGAAAGAGTCATGCAAACAATACGCGAAGACTCAAATACAAACTATGACAAAACTCTTTCTAGGATATAGGTTACCTGAGATGGGCGACCAGAGCCCAAAGGCAAAAAGGACATGGGAAATTTACAACATACTAGGTGAACATGAGGCAAAGATGCAACAACTTGAAGCAGAGGGCAAGTTACCAAAAGCGACACCAAAGAAGAAGAGAGAGTAGAACAAAGTGAAAGTAGTGAAGAAGTAACTTCAATCTAGTGAAAGTAGGGCAATGAAGGAAAAAGAAGAGTTAAAAACTCAGTCAGGAAGAAAGTAAAGCTTGGTCCGACTATTATGACACATAAATCCAACTATTCTATATTTTTACCCATATGAAATGTACGCCGCTCAGAATATAACGCCAACAGTTTTGGATGCCATGAACGGAAATGTTTCCGAATGGTATAACGAATGCGACAATGCCATTAGAAGGTCAGAAATAGTTCCTGGAACTTACGAATATACAACTGCTGTTTCTTATGGAAACGTAGGTGAGTTTGGAGAAGGTTCTTCAACAACAGTAGATATTGCTTGCGACAGGTTTCATATTATTTCTATTGACAACTCATTCTTATACGTGGAACAAGACATTGAAATAAAACCTTCTGCCAAGTTGTCTGACAAGAAAGGTTGCAATGGAATTTTCTATGTCGGATACCAATATGCTCCAGAAGTTTTCATGGGATATAAGATATATTCTAACTCTGACTTAGTTCAAACAGTAACATGGGCAAACTATGAATGGTTCGCTTTGAGAAACTCAGTACAACCACAAGCTAGAGAACAAACAGACCAGTATGCAACTATTGAGAAAATAAGAAGACTTGACCCTAACGTTCCAGGAGTTTATGTTAACCTTTCTGGACAAACTGCAGCAGCAGTAACCAAAGTAAAACTGAAACTTAGAGTTCCTTTGTCATCTTTCCTCATCTTCAGGTTTTTAAGATACTTGCCAAACTGGGCAGGAAAAATTTCTATCGAACTTACTCCAAGCAAAAATAACTTAGTCATTGCACCAACACAAGACCCATTCACTATTACTGTAGCTGGAACTGGTGGAGCCAAGTTCTGTGACTTTTGCAAAGACAAAGTTGACTTAGACTTTGGTTTCTCAAACTTCAACACTGAAGTAAACTATTATTTCAATGCTGCTGGAGATGCTTGGGACCCAGTTAAGTTCACATGCGAAAAATTTGAATGCAAGAGAATAGAAAGCAGACTTGCAGTCTATATGTTGGACCCAGATATTTCAAATGCTTTAGCTGCCAAATATATTGCAGTTCCACTTATGTTCCCTATACACCAAATATCTGTCAAAGACTTTGCAGGTGAAGTTGGAAACCAAAGTGCTGACCCAGGTGCAAGAACAGATATTGCTTTAACAACTGCAATGAAACATGCAGATACTATGTTTGTACTGTTCAGACGAACTATAAATGACTATTCTTGTTTCTACAACCCTGGTATTAAATATCATATAAACATAGATGGCAAATATTATCCAAGAGAAGAATATTCTACAGTTGAGGATATGAGGTCATACAACTTGACATTAGATGCTATGAACTTTAACAACAACTTCACAACAACCATTAACCCTGAAATGCAAAGTTCTATTATGCCATATGTGAAAGTATGGACTCATACAGGAGGTCAAAAAACTCAATATACAAATGGAGACCGTTCAAACTTTTGGCTTGGCATTCCATTTGCTGACTCAGAAGACTTTATGGGTGGTATTTCAACTGTTGGTACAGTACAAATACAATATACTGGTGACAGAGACGGTCCAGATGAATTGAGAGCAAAGAAGTTTACAAAACCAATAGCACTTTTCACGGAAGATGCTCTTTTGAAGATTCGTTCGATGAAACCTGCTGGGGCTCCTCAGATTGGCATAACGACAGCTTCCATCGAGCAGATTTTGGCAGCAGGTCAGTAAGTTGTTCTTGAACTGACTTCTCTCCGTCAAATATTGACAGTACGCCAGTTTTGACATAATATTGTATTATAAACTTACCTTTAGAAATATCTGTAAGTTTTGAAGTTATATTTTTGTCTGCTTCAAGAACTTTCACCATTTCAGTTATACCAACTTTCTTTGCTTTATGAAAATATTTAGGTTCAGCAAATATTGCTATTCTATAACATTTTCCATTGTTTGTGTAAAGAACTATTCTGTCAATGTATTTGTATTGTTTGTGAGTATAAACTTTGTTCTGCTTCAATTCGAAGAGATATCCGAATACGTCCATCTTTTTATTCTAAGTAAAATGTCATTTCCGAAAAATAGAAGCGTAAGTGTTTCAAAAGGTTTAATGGCGGTGGCAGATGTGAAGTTAAATTCACCAACTCAAACAAACAGTCAAAGTGTTGTTGTCAATGTCAAAGACAGAGATGTTGAAGTGGGGAAACCATACGAAGACGAAGATGGTATAACAATTGTTCCTGTAAAAGAACAACCAACATATCCTGAAGTTAGCAGAGACTTAAGTTCTGTTGCAGATATTCGAAACGACTACCAACAACTGAAAGACAAACAAACTCAGGAGAAGATTTGTCAAGCTTTAAGTATAATGTTAAACTTGGTCGAACACAACCCTGTAAAAGTGAACTCATATGTCATTGCACCTCATGAAGTTTTGAAAGAACTATTGAAACTTTTGACAGAGGCAGACGATATAAACATCAAAGAAATAGAACCCGACATTAGTTGCTGTGGTGTTTCATATAATGTCATTGACAAGATATACGTTATGAAAGGAGGTGAAACGTTGAACTTAAAATATAGTTTCCCAGACGTTATAAAAATATTTGACGACCACAACATTTCATTAAAATTTATTTGCTAAGTAAAAATGTCAAAACTTCTTGAAAGATGTTTGAAGAAAAATAATATAGACTTTATTTCATGTAAAGGACTTTACACACTTTTGAACGATATGAAAGACCCTGTTTTGTTTGTTCGTGTAGACAAAGGAAAGTTCTATGTCTTTACAAAATATTTGAACTTCTTAGACAGAGAACTTCAAGAAACGCCATGTGAAAGTTTAGATGAAGTTCTTCTCCACTTTCAGAAAAACTTTTAAATATATATAAATGGCAGAAGATATAATGGTTTTATACTATTACGACTAAAAACCCTGAGTCATATAATTCTATAACAACAAACTTACAAAGTCCTCAAGG